GCAGCTCTGGAGAAAACCGGAATTTCTTCGCAGAACAGCATTGCAGAAATCTTGGTTTTCTCCAGAGCTGCGTGCGGAGAAATCATGATGTTCTCCGGACAGAAGTAGCAGTCACTTGCAGCGACTTGACAGCCACTTGCTTGGGCAGCCACTTGCAAGTGGCTGCAAGTGGTGCAAAATGGAAACTCAAAATACGCACCTCCTGCGAGCTCAATGAAACATTCTCTAAACATTAAGGTTCTGAGGTGCTTGCTAGCCCTTGCCTTGCCATGATTTGACACTCCTTTGCTCGGATGCTTAGATGCGAATGGAGTCCAAGAAGGTCGAACTTCGAGAAACCATCCGGGAGGAGATGTCGAACAAGTTGTCGCCTGGTTGTATCCAAATGTCCCTTCAACGCCTTGCCTGGAGCTTGGCTTTCAACATCCTGGATGATAGTGCACAAAAAACGTGTTCCTCAGGCGTGCCGTCACTCTTTTGTCATGCCATCATTATTCACAAAACCTATAGCTAGGCATAATAGGTAACGGATGGTAACGGTCAAGCTACAAATCCAGTCTGACCTAGTAAAACCTGGTCCTTTACGACCTCCTTGAGTAGTGTGAACGTGCATGACCAACTCCAGTATTTCATCAGGTCAATGACTTGTGTTTTGTCATGTCGAAACGTGACCCCGACCACTTTGCTCGCCTCTTCCAGCGGCTGCCCGGCCGCGCAGAACTCCCAGCGGTCTAAGAGCCCACCTGATCGACGTAGACGGTCCGAATCGGTCTTCGTCGGGTCAAGGCGTTTTTCCTTGAGGGAAGTGCGGTTTTCCTGAGGTCCAATCTGGGCTGAGGGTCTCCTTGTTTTTGGATACCCTTACGAATCCGGCATTTGTAACAATGGAAAGGGTTTGGGCTCCGGGCACCTTCTGTGGGGGGTCCAAGGATTCTATAGGGTTGGATGATTTGACCTGGATGATTTGAGCATTTGTTTCTCGGATGTCCAAAACTTCAGTTCCACCCCGTAGGTGAGGAAAGCTCGGTCTTAACTCGGGATGAAGTGCTGGACAAAGTAGTTAGTTCCACTACTGGAGTCCTGTTCCACTTCCATGTTAGTTCCAGGGAGAGCAATTTGCTTGGCCCACAGGATTGGCCCCTATCGGGTGTGTAAACATCTAGTATGGCAACATTAACATCCCTTCCTGCGTCGTCTTAAATCTTACAAGAATTCTGTCGGTTGCTCATATGAAAAACTTTGGGGTTGAGAACTACTTGTGGATTCGTGAAGTTGCTTTCTGTTCAACTATCGGGAGAGGACTGCGATTGACCTGATGAACCCAAACTTGAGGCGGAATATGAACACCCAACACTTATTTTATCATATGTTTCAGGTGCAAACGGTTGAGAGGCCTTAAAGTCGTCGGCAGGATGGATGTTTGCTGCCAGCGGGATGGAGCCTCCCGGCTGCCTCCCCCTTTCTTCAAGCGAACAGACAGGAGGTCTGAAAGAGCAAGTTAGCTGACTCCTTCAGTTTACGTGGAAAGAACAGGTTAACCTTTCTCCACCGGTTGTGACTAGGTTAGAACTCCAGCCACCCAGTCCATTCCACCGATCGGATGTGTGCTCCGGGCGCAGTGCCCTGAAGCTGCACCACCCCTCAACAAACGGGGGGACCGCGTATGTCATTGGGGTGGCTACAGGTAAAAGATTCCATACATGGATGGTGTGGGCAGCAAGTGGTTGCGCAGGGCAGCTTGCCCTGCGAAGCAGCACATGAACAACCGCTTGGGCGGACTCTTGCTCACTGGGGCGATCTGAGTGGTCTTCTCTGAGTGACTCCAGCGGAGGTTTTGTTCGATCGGAGGCACCTCCGGATATGTTTGTTCCGATCAATCGAGCATACCAAGCTGAACTTCATCTTTCTGAGGAGTCCGCTGGAGATGCTCGTTCTGACGAATGTGTCCGCGTCTGCACAGCTCCTGTGAGACGAGTCCGCAAGGCTCGGAGTGCGCATATATGCACGGGCTTTTAGTGCGAAGGTAGCTGTGTTGCTGCAGCCAGTCCGCAAAGTGAGTGATGTCCTGCCATTGATGGCCATGTTCATGACAAAGGCGCTTTGACCGTGCAGGGGAGCTATGCACGTTGTGGCCGCAGAAGCTGCAAAGTTGGCCCAGCCGAAGTAAACTCTTGTAGCCATGAAGGTGGTCAAAGATGCCTCCAAGCCTTCAACTGGTTCGTGCACAAACGGGAAGATGAGGATGATGTGCCCCTCTATTGTGCAGCCTGGACAACTCACCCTTTCAGCCATGGCGTGCTCGAACGACCACTTGTAATGGGTTGGCCATCAGTGACTTGAATCCGTGCGGACTGCACCGCTACCGATCCTTGCTTTGGTGCATTGGAGTAGTCTCTTTTCATGGCACCGATGGACCTCTCCGACCTCCAGGTCCGCTGTCAGCGGATGTCGACTCGATCTCTTCCCGTTCTGCCGGTGTTTTCCCGGAACGTGACCCCGAGAGTTCGGATATGGCGGGCTGTGGGGTCAGCTCCAAACCCTAGTAGGTTGACCTGGCTGGTATTCTATTCAGTTCATTTTCGGTGGTTAACCATCGTCTCCCGCTTTCGAAACCGTCCAAGGCCATGACCCAGCTGTAGGAGCTTCAGTGGACCAAAGCCCACGCCGATGTGCAAGGTGAGGGTCACCTGGCAACTTCCGCTTGATAGATTCACCAAGCCTCTTCAAAAAATTGGTGAACGAACCCGAACTATTTGTTTGATGGAGTCGTAGTAGTAGTAGTAGTAGTAGTAGTTGTTGTTGTTGTTGTTGTTGTTGCTGTCGTAGTGGTAGTCCTCAACGACGATGACTTTGACTACGACTATGACTATTATCAGCACTACTACCAGCACTAGTACCAGTACCTACTGCTATTCGTTGGCTTGTTGTGTTGGGTGTGGCGACAAAATCAGCGCGGCTCCAGTCTTAGTTTCTTGCCCCCGGTAGAGACAAAATAAGAAGATGTGTGTTGAAAGGGCTGCAATGTTTCTTGTTGTATAGCTGTTGTTGGATCTTCTTTGGGTAATATATATCCCATTAGCAGGGCCCAGCGGATGATCAAGTGCAGGCCTTTGTTTCGGTGATCTGTTACCGACTGTTGGGTTTTCCAAACACAAACACTCATTCATAGAGGCCACCAGTGGACATTGGATCTGGATCTGCGCTCTCAATCCCACCAACCGTGCCGTTCACGCTTCTTTCAATCCCCTCGTCCACCTCTGGCACCGGCGTCTGCCCGAAGGATTGCCTCGGAGTTCGTTCGTCTCTAAAAAGGAGCCGTGAAAAGCTGGGGATTGTCGCTGGTTTTCGGGGCAAACCCTGAGACCGAAAAACATGAAAAAAACCCTAGGGCTCCAACCATATCCTCAGAAGGTGGTTAGACCCCCCAAACCCACCCCAACCATCTTCTCAGGAGGTGGTTGGAGCCCTAGGGAAAACACTCCCCCCAGACCGAATTCCGGAATTCGTCCGACTCCCTCAATTCTCCGGGAACAAGTTCTTGAAGCGATTCGGTGCCCCTCGTGGCATCACCGTAGCGTACCGGCCCGGACGGCGAGCTCAACAGCACAAAAAACCAGCCTGGCGTCGGAACTGCTGTTGCCCGATGGATCCACTGCCACCGAACCAGGTCGGTACGGTGATTGGAGGAGACTATTGATGTAGGCGCCAGCCAGTCGGGTCCTGGCGCCTAGCTTCTGAGAGAAGGTGGCAGATCCATAGGGTTGGATGTTTTGAGTTGATCAGGTCACCAACTGGGGATAACCAATGTAGGTAACTCCATGTAACTCCTGATAACCAACTGGGGACAAGAAGTGGATGTAACTCCATGTAACTCCTGGTCTTGCAGGTGATCTACTGAGGAAGGACAGTCTCCTTTCCTGTACCCATCACCACATATAGTATCACCCCTCAAGGGAGATGGCGATCATTTCCACCAGCCTTGGCTGAGGCTCATTGGTGAGAAGGAGTCTTGCATCTCACCATTCTCTTGCACTTGCTGAATCAAAGAAAAAAATGCACAAAAGCAACACTGCTGCCTATAGATGACATGTCCATTCATTTCCAGGTGAGGGACGTCCCATGGCTTTTAAAACAACAACACGCACAGTCCAATCTTCCAACAGGTTGGAGGCGTCCCAGCGTTTTGGCGCCTGTCGGCCTGTCGGGTCCAGCCAATCCTTGTGGGTCGGGTTCTTCCAGCCGCCATGGGGACGAAAGACCAATCGAAGATCATCCAGAAACCAATTCCCAGACATTCCATGGGACTGCCATATATGCCGATCAGTTGGGGTGGTTTTGGGGGTCAATGGGGCGGCATATATGGCAGTCCCATGGAGTGTTTGGGAATTGGCTCAGTAGGTCTGGGGAAAACAGATCCGAGGTCCAGTCTGACCCGGATTTGGCAAACCGCCAGGATCCGCGAGGATCCGAAGTCTTGCTGAGTTCTTTGACCGGCTTCCTGACGGAAAGACATGGGCTATCTCATGTCGAGTCAGGCCGATCCGCCGGAGCCGATCCGCCGGAGCCGACCATCGGCCGGAAGCCATCGCTCGTCGGAGCCAACAGTCTCCGGCCCTTGGAACAAAAACCATCGCCACAGTAACTGTGTTAATGTAACTGTGTAACTGAATTACAGTTGAAAGTCCCCCCCCCTGTTTTCATGGTTGGGGCGGCGATCCAAAACCCACGTCCCGCAAGCTAGGGACGCTTGACGTTGCAAGCTCTCGCAACAGCTGCAGGCGCTGAGCACGGCTCTTTGGCGTGCCTGGCGCACGCCAGACGGCGCGCGGCGCGCGCCCAGCAGTGCAAGGACCGCGGGAGGTGCACGGGCACGATGAAGGGTAGCAAGAAGGCCATCAACGGAGCGGTCAGGGCATCGCTACGAATTAGGAGCGATCGGACGCTACTAATGAGTAGCTCCTGGGCTTACTACTAGGAACAAGAAGCTATATAATATATGAAGCTATGCTGTTCTTGAACAATGAGATTCTACGAGCAGCTTGTCCGCTTCCAGGTGTGTTGGAGACAGTGTACTTAGTGGTGGAACATCAAGCTGACCAATTGCTACAACTGCAGCTCTGTCCACAATGGTCGTGCGGGAGGAAGATGGAGTGGCTTTTCACATCAAATGACATGCATTGGGTCTATCGGTCTATCCTATTACCTGTAACAGTGGATGATGGTGGTTAGTAAAGGCCTTGTCCAAAAATAGTGATATTTATATGATATTATCACGATTATTATGTGATAATTGTTTACTGACTGTTAAGAGCGGACAGACCCTATAGACATGCATGTCTTTCCTCCTCAGGTACTTATAGAGGATTCGTAACATGTCCTGATCTCTGTCTCATGACCCCCAACTTCTCCCGCGAGTGGACTACCCAACCGGTGAAGGGGTCTCGAAACAAGGCGGTACTCCTGACGTCAGGTATGAAACAAGCGGTGCACAGTGCTGCACAGTGCTGGATACGCGTTCAGCACTTTTTGTCACCAAATTGGATGGCGAAGTGCAGTGGTGGTCCAAACCAGTGGTCTACGAGCTATGGTTGACCGTGACCCGGATCATGACCCAAGGTCAGTTGTGGCTTCCACACGCTTCCACCCACCGTGCAATGAGACTTGTAATCATGCCTTCTCCTGGGTTTCCTCTGAATCACCTGCTCAGCACGGGCCGATCCAATCACATGTCAGGCCTTCATGTTTGGTTCTAGTTTTCCTAGGAAGAAATGAGACACTGGTTCGATCATATTGTGTGGCTGCTCCGTATGGCTGGCCTATGGCGGTCGTCATTCTTGGTGATTGCATATACCTAGATCCTCCAACTGTGCCAAATTTCAGTCTTTTGGCTGGTTTTACATAAATTTGACACCATTGGAAGATCCAGGTATCAGTCCCAAACACGACCTGTCTGGCATATTTACCGAAAGGGTCAATGACTGGGTCAATCTGGGTGTGTCTCAGAAGAGGGACTTTCTTCCGGGTTCGGACACATGGAAACTGGGTTCCAGAAAACTGGGCGAACGCAAAAGGGTGCTTGAGTTCTGCCTCTATGGAGAATCCTCAGTTCAAACAGGGAGCTTGCCATTCAAATAGTTATTGGACGAATAAGCTTATATACCGGTCTCCATAGACTTGACATCTTCGGAGGGGTCCAGAGTCTTGACATGCCAAATTTGCCTCTAACCTGGGGGCCGGTAAGCACAATGGAGACCACAATAAGTAGTTTTCCACACCCTGAACATCCACCCCTGACCAAAACAAAGGACGAACACATAACCACCTTTCTTTGAGAGGCATCTCAAGCTTCTCAACTGGCCCTTTTTTCACTGGCTAGTGGTCCCGAGCAAGTCTGGCAGCCACACAGGAGTTGAACCTTGGCTCGAAGTGTCCACAAGCATATCATGAGCCCACCATTGAAGCTGGACATGCGGACAGGTCACTTCTTGATTTTGGTATGAGTAGACCAAATCCTTGGAAACTCCATGGGCCCATGGATCTAGCTGAAAAGGGCTTATACACAGCAGTTCAATTAGCACTGCTTCAAAGGCACCGTAGGCGAGAACAGCGCATGATCCACTTCGCTCTTCGAGAAGCATGTGCTTTCAGCCATGTTTCTTAGCGCAAACAGCATGTGAAATAACAGAATTCGATCAATCAAAAAACACATGCAGCTGCAATCGTGCTCTATGCATATAGCTCATGCATACCACCAATGCTATCTAGGCACTTTTCAACCACATCATGCTATCCTCATCTCGAAATCCGTGATGGTATTTGACGTTGCAGCCTCAATTTCGGATTGGAAAGGAGGCTGCCCGGATGGGAAGTGGCGTTTAAAGAAAACAGGTCGGTAGCACGATCATATATTCTACTTAGCATTCTCATTGGGCAAGGTTCGGTTCTTTTTGATGGACTGCAAGAGGTGCCATAGGCCCTGTGCATGCAAGGCAAATCCACGGGTCCAGAATTCTTTGAGCACATGTTCACAATGCCCCCAAGCCACTATACTAATTAAAAAGGCACACAGCAAGTTGGGATAGCAAAGAATTGTATCAAGGGGCATGGCACTTTGGCCGGAGAGTCCACTCCAGAAAGCCAAGCCTTGCAGGGTACAATCACACATGTGATTGGGAATCATGTTGAACGTATTGCACATTGCATTTTTGGACCAGTCCCACTATAGTACGATAGACTTTTTAAAGGACACCAGCCTCATAGATTGCACAGTCAGAATAGTATAGATATCTAAAAACTGCTGGCCATCATTGAAGATGGAAACAGACTCGTCTTGGGTCCTAGGCATGCATGCATGCATACACAGCTATTTTCGTTATATCCTTCAAGGCTCAAGATGGCTCAATCAAGGCTTTCGCAAGATGAACCACCGCATAATATATGCAGTAAAGGCTCAAGTACCGCCCACATGCCTCAAGTTGACCAAGAAAGCGGGCCAGATGCTTCCTAGGCAGCAGGTCCAAATTGCAAACACTGAAACATCATAGCTAAAGTATACACGCACTATCTGCCGCAGTGCAAATTGGCCAAGTCATGTGCTGTACATTCCTTGTGTCACACACACTAATGGGCACTGAGTCGCATTGCTAGGGCAATCAGTGGAAAGCGAGGGTCATGTGATGCAAACTGGCCATTCTGACTGGCTTCGAAGATAGCATCCGTTAGCCATGCAAATACTGCTCTGCCGTTGAAAGCTTTGAGCGTCAAAAGTATATCTCCCGACTTCTTGAAGATCTTAGCTCAGCATTTCAGTTGAGGAGGTCAGGAAATTAAGAAGATACCTTTTGAACATCAATTCTGGCTTGAAAAGCATGCCCCAAAATCACAACAAAAGGCTACCAAAGTTGAACTGGGCACCATTCGTGGTTTGAAGACTGGCTGTGAACAGTACACCCGATTCTGCTTGCACCAGCGCTTAAAGATCTGGTGCGCCCTGGCCAGCTTGACATCCACACTGACCCCCGCCTCGCTTCCAAACCAGCCACATCGCAAAAGAAGATTCCTCATTCTTGCAGTTCGTGTTGCCAAAATCACAGCATATAACATTGAAAATACATGCATGAGACTACCATGGGCCTGTACAACAATCAACTGACATAGTGCGTATCGTGAAATGGATCGTATCTCTCTCTCACACAAATGTGCCATCATGGCTCATTGCCGAACCATTGACTGCATACAGAAGCCCCAGGTGCACTACGTGCATCAAATCCCACCTGATCACGGTCGTGTCGAATCCACTGATTCCAATCAGAGGGCCTGGGCAGCGGGCAAGCAGAAGCTGAGTGAAATGAGGCCAAACTACCGCACACCAGACATACTGGGAGATGTTCGGAACCCTGAACCAAAAATGCAAACTAAATTGCAAAGCAAAGATCAAATCCCGCTAGAAGGCATTCTCTCATCCAGGTACTCTTGAAAAGTGAGAGGCGAATTCCAATCGTTGTGATGGTAGCTCCAATAGAGGTCTCGAGGGTTGGCGCTAGCCGACTTGGCTCTGCACATGTGGCAAACCTGGATTGAGTTCCATGAGGTTCTCTCCCATCTGAAAATCTTTTTCAGCCAACTCCAGTCCCCTCTAACCTCTGTCAAGGCGTACTTTCGCGAGAAAGGTCGTCCTGACAGCTTCTGAAGAGATCCTGTCAGAGGCTCTCCATACACCCCCACTGTTGGGTGCCTTCCATGGATCAAGCAGTCAAATGACCAGCTGATCCTCCTCAACGCCTTGTTCAACGTATGAAAGCCCCATAGCTTATCTTCGGGGATGCAGAAAAGAAGGAAGCGACTGTGTCGAATGCTGGGCGGGGTCCACAGTATCAGGTTTGCAAAGATGCCCACCAAAGACTCTGCCCCGAAGGCTGTCCGCATGGTGGCACCATCACCAAACAGCCCAAGAGGCAAGGTCAGAGGATCCACATCCTGTGCCCACCTCTCTCCGTGAATGCGATTGTGGTTCCAATACTTACGAACGGCAGAATCTGGTATTCGCAGGCCACAAGTGTCCACCAAATAGTGCATGATGGAGTGTACATCGAGTATCGGCCATTCTTCCATCCGGTACTTGAACTGGCCATCTTGAAGGTCTTGAAATCTGATAGGCAGTTGAATGTATTGGATCACCTGATTTGCCAATCCAGGCACTGACCGGGTCAATCCGTGCAACCATGCATACACGCATGAAAGGAACAATGTTCTAAGGTGAGCCACATTGAAGCAGTGCACACGCGAATGAAAGAAGAAACAAAACAGTCGATCACATGAGCAAAGTGCTTGGTCTCAATTCTATGAAGCGAGCGTCGGGCCCATCTTTCACACAGTTCCGCCACCAATCCCGAGAAGCATTCCCATGCTTGCCAATGGCACCAAGACGCCGTGCCATGGGGTGCAGGCAAAAACCATGGTTGTCCTGCACTGTTGCGCACAACTCATTTGGACACCAAGAGGTATAGGACTGGTCACACCAAATCAGAATGATAGTGCAAGATGCAAGCTACTTTATCTCTGCAATGCATGCAGTTTGGCATGCCTGCATGGTGCACACAGCTTGAAAGCAAACGCCTAATTCATATGTCACCTTAGAACCTAAATATAATAGTCGTGCTTGCGTGTAATTTGATCAATGTCACACAATAGTATGCATGCATATATTCTATTGTAGTTGATCGATCATAACTTTATTGGTGCTTTGTGTGGACGACTAAATACCACCAAGCCTTCCCTCACAGGGTCTCCGAGGTTCATCGTTTCAGCTGATGCTTTTTCACCCCTCCCCTCCCAGGCTCCAGCACATGGTCTTTGAGATGCCGCATTGCTTGGCCAGCAGTTGCAGCCTCAGAGGGGCCGGCAGCAAGTACCATAGTTGATCAGGCCACGTAAGCAAGACATATCTGCAAGTCACAGCTGCTCATATATGTCACAGCTAGCTGATATGTAATAATATATATTAATAGCTTTGCAATACAGTACTAGTTGAAACATGTTATCCAATGAACAGTTATAATGTTATTATATATAATATATATATATATTATAGATCGACTCATACATGGTCAGGGAACTCCAGAACTCACCTCGTGGATAGCAGTGTCAAGGACTCTTGAAGGCACAAACGGGTCACCGTCTTCACCTGCGATGGGATTGCAGGAACATGTTGTTTGAGGGTGTTCTGAATACATGCATGGCATTGCAACATGGTGGTGCTTTGGTCACTAATGAACCAATTGTTCACCAACAATGCTTTTTTGCGGCCCCTCCGCTCCATCTGAAAGGATTTTGCTACAATGAGCAAGCTACGGGTGTACCTGCTGGTCCTGTTCGCAGCTAGGGCCTTCAGAACTTGGTTCCCCAAAACGAAACACACTGTGCACAATGCGCATCCATCAATCCAGATAGGTTGAACCAACATGACATGGAGAATGCAGATTATAGAACCCACATGGCCTCTTTCAAACAGGGTCAGGCACAGCTAACACAGCTTGCAAAGCTTCGCATGAAAGACGATTGGAAATCGGGTGTGTCTCCTTATTTGAGATTGGCCCGCTTCAAAAAGTCGGTGTACTCATCCTCAAGCTTCTTGCAAGAAGCGATGCCACGGGCGAGTTCATCGCCAGCCTGAGTTTGTTTTTATCCCAAACGTATCTTA